TATTGGTATCAGGGGTAGGAATAATGCTCCATCATTGGTGTCACTAGGAGAATAGTGCCCCATTATTGGTGTCAGTGAAAGGAATAGTGCCCCATCATTGGTGTCAGTGGGAGGAATAGTGCCCCATCATTGGTGTCAGTGGGAGGAAGGGTGCTCCCCCATTGATATTAGTTGGCAAAATAGATCCCTGTCACCGGTGTCAGTGGGAGTAACAGTGCCCCATTATTGGTATCAGGGGTAGGAATAATTCTCCATCATTGGTGTCACTGGGAGGAATAGTGCCCCATCATTGGTATCAGTGGAAGGAATAGTGCCCCATCATTGGTATCAGTGGAGGAATAGTGCCCCATCATTGGTGTCAGTAATAGGAATAGTGCCCCATCATTGGTATCAGGGAGGAATAGTGCCCCATCATTGGTATCAGTGGGAGGAATAGTGCCCCATCAGGTGTCATGGGAGGAATAGTGCCCCATCATTGGTATCAGTGGGAGGAATAGTGCCCCATCATTGGTATCAGTGAATAGGAATAGTGCCCCATCATTGGTATCAGTGGGAGGAATAGTGTCCCCATCATTGGTGTCAGTGGGGGAATAGTGCCCCATCATTGGTGCCAGTGGGAGGAATAGTGCCCCATCATTGGTATCAGTGGGAGGAATAGTGCCCCATTGTTGGTGTCAGTGGAAGGAATGGTGCTCCATCATTGGTGTCAGTGGAAGAAACACTGCCTCATCGTTGGTGTCACTAGGAGGAATAGTGTCCCAAAATCTGGATAAAGGGTTGCATTTGGTCTGCAGGCTGGAGTTTGGAGACCACTGCCCTAGAGGAAGGCAAAAAAACCCCCATGAAGTACGGTCCAACTTGCTCCAGTGGGGGGGAAAAAAATCCCTTCCCGAGGAAATCAGATATTCCCCGGATCAGCTCTCCCTGGTGTTATTATCTATAAATGTTAGTATTCTATTATACAATAAATGAGGTGAAATGTTGCTTTGCAAAGAATACTCAATTACATGCAATAAAGATTAAAAAGAAAAAAAAAAAACACACATTTTTGTTTGCAAGTGATTGTATGATGGAAGTTTTTGATGCGTTTTGCGTTCACACCTATGCAGTTTGCGTTTGAGCTGTTTCCGCATTGCGTTTTGTGTTTTTGCACCTGCGTTTTGCTGGGGTTTTTTCTACTTGCTAGGCAGATTAAAAATGCAAAAGGCATCGCAAATGCGGCAAAAACGCATCAAAAATGCACTACATGCTTTTCTGCAGCGTTTCCATTGAAGTCTATAGAACCAAAAACCCAACATTTTGCGTTCAAAAAAAGTCCCTGACCCTTTCCAAAAAACGCAACTGGTGAAAACACGCAGATGTGAACGCATCCCATAGGAAATCATGTGAAATGGACTGTACTGCGTTTCTGCGAAACGCTTAGGTGCGACCCTCGGGTGAGCTCTGGGGTAAATGCCCCTGCAAATTTCAACTTCACTGAATTTAGCCTTCGGTAAATCGATCCCAAACTCTACATCCAAATTAAAAAAAAAAAAAAAAAAAAGTGAAAACTTTCTTCGCTTTTCATATCGATTGATATTTTGCGCCTCCTACACGGCGAGGATCAGGGCGCCATCCGTACCGCTCATTCTATGGAAGTAGCAGATAGTCAGCTGAGCAAAAAAAAAAAATCGCCCGATGGCGGCTGTCAAACTGGCATCCGGCAGACGTGACCGTCACCTGCGGGAGTGCGACTGCGGCCGAGTAATTACTGGACTTTCCTGTTCCAGGATAAGTCATCCCCAGAGGAAAAAAAGGAACGGCGAGAGATAACGACGCTTCGGGAAATATAGCGCGCACTATCCTTCCATTTGCGTTGCTGCCTCACATGAGCTTCGCGGACCCCTCTGGGCCGCCATCAGGAGATTTACAGCCGTAGACGTCAGATACAACAGGCGGAGGTTTATTGGGCTTTTAGCGCTCGTTAATCTTCGACCAATCAACTCCGGTTCTGGTTTTGGCGTCCGACGGGAGCGACTCGTTAACCTCTAATCAGCTCCAATGTATAAAGACGCACAAGGCCATCCATGGGATTAGGAGAGCTGTGTGGAAAAGCGCAGTCATGCTCATTAGCACGCCGTAGTGCAGAGCGTGATTCGTGGATGGCCACCCCTCCCCCACCCCAAAGCTGGAGGGGGGTTAAATGGATTAGGGAAGTGCATGACATTGCAGCACCAGGAGTCACTTTGCCCCGGCGTGGCTCGTCCTGTCACTAACGCATGGAGATCAATAGATTTATGACAGGCAGAGCGGTGAGTAGTCAGAATCAGCAGGAGACATGTATGGGGGAATTGACTGGCGCTCCGGGGCCCCGAGACAATCATCTCCCATCTGGACACAGAGGATAAATAACCGTGACTCTGGATCGCTGAAGGCAATGACTCCCATGGGGGACGTGAATCACCGACACCCGAAAAAAAAAAAAACGAGAGGCCAGCGCAGGAAACTTACCGACTGCCTGCAGAGAAGCCCAGAAAACTTTGTAACCTTTACTGAATGAAGGTGTCATCCTTTACCCCGGGTTCACACCGTGCGGAATTCGCAGCGTTTTCTGTGCGAAGTTCATACCGCATCACAATCGCACCCCGTTCATGCCAACCGCTGCGGGTGTGGAGGTTCTGTTAACCCCAAAATGGGCCGCAGAACGCGGTGCGATGTGCAAAATCGGATCACATAGGTGTGGATACCCGTGTGATCCGATTCTACTCACATGGAAGAAAAATATATTTGAAATGCTACAATTTTTTTATAGTCAATATATTTAAAAATAAAATATAATTAAAAATACTATACATATATAGTATATATATTTATAAAAAAAAAATAAAAATTATATATAATATACATATACATACTGGTTTGGGCATATACATACATATATATACATATACACTATATACATATATACTACATGTTGAAATGCATTTTTTATATATTACAAAATATATGGAAAATATTTTTAAAATATATTCTTCAGATTTTTTAACATATAAAAAAGTCATTTTAACATATATTTTTACAGATACAGTTGTGTTACAAATAATAGCAGTGTGTTGAAAAAAGTGAATAAAGCTGAAAATCCTTCTAATAGCTTTTATTTCCATCCACACAAATGCATTGGGAACACGACACATTCTATTCCAAATCACAACATGAAGAAAAATACATCAAATTTGTGTTGTTCCTCTAAAAAAAATGGAAGAAAAGTGAATATTAGACGGTTCAAAAAAATAGCAGTGTTTGTATTCTTCTTTACAAACTCAAACATTCACTATATAAACTGAGAAATGTTTGAAGATTTTTGCTTTCCTTTGAATGACTTCATGAATATTTGGTTGTAGTCGCACTGTTTCTGAGAACTGCTGTACATCTGTGTTGCATGGAGTCCCCCAACTTCTGGCCCCTGTGATCAGGTATTCCAGCCCAGGATGATTGGACCACATTCCACAGTTCTTCTCTATTTCTTGGTTTTGCCTCAGAAACGGCATTTTTGATGTCACCCCAGAAGTTTTCTATTGGATTAAGATCCGGGGATTGGGCTGGCCACTCCATAACGTCCATCTTGTTGGTCTGGAACCAAGATGTTGCACGTTTACTGGAGTGTTTGGGGTCGTTGTCTTGTTGGAACACCCATTTCAAGGGCATTTCCTCTTCAGCATAAGGCAGCATGACCTCTTCAAGTATTCTGATGGATTCAAACTGATCCATGATCCCTGGTATGCGATAAATAGGCCCAACACCGTAGTATGAGAAACATCCCCATATCATGATGCTTGCACCACCATGCTTCACGGTCTTCACAGTGTACTGTGGCTTGAATTCAGTGTTTGGGGGTCGTCTGACAAACTGCCTCCGCCCACTAGACCCAAAAAGAACAATCTTACTTTCCATCAGTCCACAAAATGTTGCTCCATTTCTCCATTTCTCTTTAGGCCGGTCAATGTGCTCTTTGGCAGATTGTAACCTCTTCAGCACACCTCTTTTCTCCAACAGTGGGACTTTGCGGGGACTTCTTGCAGATAGCTTGGCTTCACATAGGCGTCTTCTAATTGTAACAGTCCTCACAGGGAACGTCACACCTTCTTTCATCTTCCTGGAGCTGATTGTTGGCTGAGTCCGCGCCATTTTGGCTATTCCAATGGTAGTTTTTTCGCTTTCTTCCACGTCTTTCAGGTTTTGGTTGCCATTTTAAACCATTTGCCATCATTTTAGCTGAGCAGCCGATCATTTTCTGCACTTCTTGATATGTTTTCCCCTCTCCAATCAACTTTTTAATCAAGGTACGCTGTTCTTCTGAACAATGTCTGGAACGACCCATTTTCCTCAGAATTTCAGAGAGAAATGCACTGTAACCAGCATGTACAACATTTGCTGCCTTCCTTCCATAAATAAGGGCAATAATTGCCACCTGTTTTTCAAAGAATGAATGACCTCACTAATAGAACTCCACACTGCTATTATTTTGAACACGCCCCTTTCAATGAGTGATTCAATGACACAGAATCAGCAGCATGCATGTCATGACTGTTGGGTCTGTTGGATTTCTATTACACTACTACACCCCTAGGAAATTATTTGCCATGTAGAAATATCATTTCTACCAAAAACAGTGATTGATCCGGTTAGTGATGTCTGACTGCTAGTATTTTGAACACAACTGTATTTGTAAGTTCTAAAAATGTAGATTCGTATTTTTAATTCATTTCCCATATACATACAGTATATGGGAAATGAATTTTGAAAAATATTTTTCATATATTTTTTAATAAAAACGCATTTCAACATACAATATATATATATATATAAATAAAACCACGTGGCTAAGGTGAGTTTTTACTGCCCCCCAACTGCTACCCCCCCCTTAGCTGCAGAGGCAGCGGCTGGGATTGTACACATGCCACGGCCATGATGCTTTGCTTTGAGGCTGTAGCAGAAATAACGCCCCCTGTTTCTTTTGGCAGGCATAGCGCCTGTCAAATGTGACCCATCCAAGTGAACGGCGCCGCCCTGCAAGTGCATGCAATGCACGCAGTTGAGGAACGCTTGCTCAGGGTCCAAGGGGTTAAAGCAGATGGTGACGTGGCCAGGGGCAGACTGACAACTCATGGGGCCCCCGGGCAATAGGGGATCATGGGGCCCCTGTGTCCTTGCCCAAACTCAAAAACGCCTATGAAAAAGGTACCAGGGGCATCTCATGGGGCCCCCTACTGACCCTGGGCCCTCGGGCAGTGCCCAAGTTTCCAAATGGTCAGTCCACCCCTGGACGTGGCAATACAACACCTCCTATCAAAGGCTCCCTAAAGAGCAATCTGAAGGTGGATCATTCTTTAGAGGCCAAAGCATGTGTGACCCAGCCCTTATCCACATGATGTCCGCCTGTTGTAATGGAACAGATGGACAGCACACTCTGAGGGTGAAACAACATTTCAAAGGATACTTTTTTTCTGTGTGCTCATGCAGGGCCTCTGTTGGACAGTGCAGATAAAAAAAACCCATAACGTACAGAGCCAATGAGAGCAGTTCTGTACCACGTGATCACTGTGACCAATCACAGCATGCATCAATTTTCCAGCCATCTGCACACGCAAGGGGTTTCCCACGCATGTACAAAGACTGGAAACAGGGAAATCCAAAACCTCCCTGTCTTTGCACATGCATGGTATCCCCCTAACGAGCTCTGCATAAATATGGCGGGGCTGGGGGTGGGGGGCGGAGCTTGGCTAAAAGCAGGACTGAAGAACCTCCCTAAAGTGGAACTAAATTCTCTCAATCGGCATGAACTATTTTGTATCCTTATGCTGCCAGCATTAGTAAATAGGGTAGCACAGCGGCTAAATGGTTAGCACTTTCACCTGGCAATACTAGGGTCTTCGGTTCGAATCCCAACCTCGGCACCACCTGCATGGAGTTTGCCTGCTCTCCCTGTGCCTGTGTGGGTTTCCTCCGGATGGATTCATTTTTGTATCAACTAATTTGAGTAAAACTGAAGATTTCGTAATCGAATATATTACTAACCTTACTTCCATGTCAGGAGCGAAACAAATGTTCTATAAAACTCAGTTTTGTCCAAATTTTGGAAATTTTTCTTGTGTTCATTGAGATATTGACTCAAATCTTACTTTTCAACAGGGGTGGATTTATTTATGCTGAGCACTGTGTATATCTATCTATCTATCTAGATTATATATATATATGTATTTATTTATTTATTTTTAATATATATATCCTTTATTCTGAGCACCATAAATATCAATCTAGATATAAATATATATATATATATTTTTAGATCTAGATAGATATATACGGTGCTCAGAATAAATGATATATATATTAAAAAAAAATATATATATATATATATTTATATATATTAAAAATAAATATATATACAGTGGGGATCGAATGTTTGGGCACCCCAGCTAAAAATTTGTATTAATGTGCATAAAGAAGCCAAGGAAAGATGGAAAAATCTCCAAAAGGCATCAAATTACAGATTAGACATTCTTATAATATGTCAACAAAAGTTAGATTTTATTTCCATCATTTACACTTTCAAAATAACAGAAAACAAAAAAAATGGCGTCTGCAAAAGTTTGGGCCCCCTGCAGAATTTATAGCATGCACTGCCCCCTTTGCCAAGCTGAGACCTGCCAGTGTCATGGATTGTTCTCAATCATCGTCTGGGAAGACCAGGTGATGTCAATCTCAAAGGTTTTAAATGCCCAGACTCATCTGACCTTGCCCCAACAATCAGCACCATGGCTTCTTCTAAGCAGTTGTCTAGAAAACTGAAACTGAAAATAGTTGACGCTCACAAAGCTGGAGAAGGCTATAAGAAGATAGCAAAGCGTTTTCAGATGTCAATATCCTCTGTTCGGAATGTAATTAAGAAATGGCAGTCATCAGCAACAGTGGAAGTTAAAGCAAGATCTGGAAGACCAAGAAAAATATCAGACAGAACAGCTCTCAGGATTGTGAGAAAAACAATTCAAAACCCACGTTTGACTGCACGATCCCTCCAGAAAGATCTGGCAGACACTGGAGTTGTGGTACACTATTCCACTATAAAGAGATACTTGTACAAATATGGTCTTCATGGAAGAGTCATCAGAAGAAAACCTCTTCTACGTCCTCACCACAAAAATTCAT